GTGGGGCGGGGCCTCCTCGGAGAGGGGCGGGGCCGCCGCGGGAAGGGGCCCGGGACGAGGCCGCCCCGTCCCCCATCTGGCGTGATTTCTTGAATTCCTCTTCCCCCTAGAAAAGATGTAGGCGAGGTGTTTCCTTCCCGGGTGGTGTGGCGCAAACCGCCTCCCCGTGGCCGTGATTTCTCTTCTCCCGGCTCAGCACCCCCCGCCCCGTGGTTCTGCCCCCTTTGCCCCCGCGGCCGGTCCCCGGGCCGTGCTGCGCCGCAGGGGCTCCCCTTCCACCCGGCCCTCCTTGTCGGAGCCAAACCGCTGAGGCTTCCTTCTTTTCCGCAAGGCGCTCTGTCACCGCAGTCCCCTGCCACTCTCCTCGCACCTCAGGTGTTCCTTCGCTGCGGCTTCGCATCCTCTGCCGGTCTCCCGTGGGCAGCTGCCTTCTGCTGGGCGTTCAACACGCTCTGCTTGCGCTCCCTGGTTCTCCCAGAGCTTTTCTCCCGTGGCGGCGTTTTCTTCCCCTCGCTGAGGTCTGTACGTGCCCTTTTCCTCTACCGCCTGGTTTTGTGGGATCTGAATCCTGCTCCGAGAACCAGACGCACGCCTCCAAGGCCCTAAATCAAGCAGTCGCTGCCGCGTTTGAGTACTTGTAAACCCTGCTCCTCAGCCTGTGTTCCTCGGGGCAGGTACCGTTCGCGGTCCACGGTTTCGGTCCTCCGCAGGTTTACCGACGTGTTTCAGTTCGCCCTCTCTGAGGAGCCTGGTGGGACTAACCTCACGGTCACCGGGCACTCGCATGCCCGGCTCCAGAGGCTGTTCTCCCCGTGCAGCACGCTAAGCAGTCCTGGCAGGCTCGGGACCTGTGCTGCGCAGCGGGCTGCGGGAGCAGACGGGTGGGGGACGCAGCCCGGCGTTCCCACCCGTGCTACACGGGCTCACCGCCCCACCTGGTGGCGACAGAAGGTCCCGGGGAGGCGGCGGTTCGAAAGGGGCTGCGGAAGAGCAACCTGTGCCTCCCAGCGGGCTAACATCACAGCCGAAAATTAGAGGGTGATCAAACAGCCGTAACAAAACACATTCGGGGAAGGGGGAATCTGGGGCGGGGGATTTGGGGAGGACAGAGTTTGTTCTGAACTAAAAAGAAAGTTTACAAATTTATTGCAAGATGAAATTGGCAAAGTACCTGCAGCAAAAGGGAATAGAGCCAAGATGGGGGCGGGGGGGGGGGGGGGGGGGAAACAAACAAAAAAACA